GATTTGGAGCATGTTTGACTAAGCTTAAAATATATCCGTTATTGAGTCTCACATGTCTAATAAACGCCAACAATAACAGTTAATTTTTCAATTTTAATCCGATTTTAATCTTTACCAAACAAGCTCCTATTCAATTTCCTGTGTTACATAAATCTTACTGCCTGAAATAATCCTTCTTTCACCAATCTTTTAAGGTGGATCATTACCTAAAACAATTGCTACTCCAATCACACGGATTTTATCAAATTTTTAACCATATATTTCATTAATTTTAATTAAAATTTACTAAAATTTTAAGTTTTAGCTAAACCAAAAGGAGCTAAGGATCCGTTTGATAGACAAAGGTGAAAAGAAATTCAAATTCCATGTTGAATGAAAAATAAAAGCCTACAAAATCCATAGAAATTTGTTTTCCATGTAAATAAAGAAAAATAGAAAATGTAGCTTAAAGTAGTTGTATTTTGAAATTCGATTTTCATTTCCACGTTGCAATCAAAAGGTCAAAGTCGAATTTGTTTTTCCCTCATGTGACATTTTTCATGGAATTCGTTACAATTAAACATAACTTAAATTTTGTTTTCGTTTTTACAAAAGTTCAGGGGTCGTAATAGCAATAACTAAACTTTAGCGACGTAATTGTAATTTCGGGATGAATATCCATTACCCGACTGAGAACCTTCCTCAACCTTGCACATCAAGCAAATCAAGAACACGACCCCTTTATTCTTAATAAACAACACGCGAAAAAAGAAAATTCCTAAAAAAAAAAAGTTGCGAATTCACCCAAAATCAAAGAAAACAATGGCATTGCAGTGGGTGATTCTAACATACGTGGTGACAGCGGAGGCAGCTGTAGCAATTCTTTTGACTCTGCCATCTCCAAAGGCTTTGAAATCTCGCATTGTATCACTTATCTCGCTTATTCTCCAGCCTTTACTCTTTATCATACCCTTCGCTGCTTTTCAGCTCCTGGGTACGAATGATTTTTAGAAATTTCCTTCTTCTTTATCCCCTTCGCTGCTTTTCAGCTCCTGGGTACGAATGATTTTTAGAAATTTCCTTCTTCTTCTTCTTCTTCTTATTATTATTATTATTATTATTATTATTATTATTATTATTATTATTATTATTATTTTTGGGTGTTGGAATTTGAATGGGTATTTATGATTTTTGTTGTTATGGATTTATATAATTATATTAGATATATACTGGAAGAATGAACATAGATTGATGTGTACTGGGGAGATCTGTACTGCTGCTGAGAGGGATCGCTATGAGAAATCGGTAATAATTTTGGTTATCATTTTACTTTTTTCTATTTTACTTCTTCTTGTGGTGGTTTGATCAGTAACTAGAAATGATAATATTGAAAGTAACTGTAATGTAGAGGTGAAAAATATACTGTTAATTATTGAAATACTAGATTGTCCTATATGCAGGAAAAAAAAAAATAATAATAATAATAAAAACAATCATTCTTTGTTTATAAACATTGAGCTGATTAGGAGCGTGTTTGGCTTAGCTTAAAAGCCATAGAAGAAGCTGTAAAAATGGCATCTTTTTCACTTTTTGTATTGCTGGAGCTTCTTTTGTAGAAAAAGCGAGGCCAAATATGCTCTAGATAATTCGTCTTTGATGTAATTGTATGGTTTGGGAATATCTTTCAAATTCATCGATTTAACAGATAGCACAGTTGAGTTTGAGCTAGGCTTTACTGGTTTTGAAGTTTCGAGTTTCTAGTCTTCTCTTGCTTGAAGTTGTTGGTCAAAGTTTATCTCAAGTATGATTAATGATCTCGTAAACGACATGTGCAATAGACATGACATTATTCCTTGAAGAGAAACATCCTCTGATTTTTGAGTTATATGTTACGGGCCGTTCTCTGCTGGTACACATTCATTGAGATGAGGGACATCGTAGTTTTTGGATTCTAATTGTGAAAACTCGATTTATATTTTGAAAGATAAAAAGTCCAGTAGATAGATTTGCTCCTTGTTGCAACTCCCTACACCCGAATAAAGATTGAAAAACCAAAAGGGACAAGAGGTTTACACTTGTCCTATTCATGTATCAATGGTGATCGGCTAGTATAGATAGGGATATGGGCTGTTCTGGAATATGGGACTTTAGAAAGAAGTTACAAGCAAAGTCCATCTCAAAATTTCCTTCATTTTTGGTTGTGAATTCCATTGCCTCATGAAGTTTATTCTCCATTTATCCTCTTTTTCTTTTGTAAAAAACTGAATCCTTGGCCGAATTATATCAAAATTAGATGGGAGCTTTGACTCTTAGCTGTATTTTGTCATCCATCAAAAGGTAGATCTTATTAGTGTGTATCTTGTCATTGTTTAAACCATTCTATCCATTGTGTGACTTGATGGTGGACTTCTATAGGTTTACATACTACATCCGTCCGTCCAGGCTGATCCGTGATCACGTCTTTATATTTCCCTTCTTATTTATAAATCAGTTCTTTTATTCTGAATGATTCTTGTTTCCATGTTTCTCTTCTCAATCTAACTCTTCTGACCTTCACATCTTTGTTATTTTTCTTATTTAAGATTTGTTTTCGAACTCTTGAATCCTATTGATATTTTCTAACCAGCTATATCAATTTTGAAAGTATTACTCTTTCTGATAAAGACACTGATTCAGTGCCTGAAGTATTTGTACTTTTGGTGATAAAATGATTATTATTTGAGATAATATTATGCATAGATAGACTTGTAATTTGGAGTAAAAAAGCATGTTATATTACCTAATTACCTTAGTGAAACTCATATTATGAAGGTACCCTACCGAGTCTCACCGCAGATACCTAAAATCTTAAGTCTTTAGCTTTATATGGGAGAATTCATTAACATAAAATTTGTTGCGTTATGATTTTCTCTTGTTTAAGCCATGGCATTAGGCCATCGGCTGCTTATGCATTTTTCAATCTCTGCTGTTGGGTGTGTGGTGTAGATCTACAAGGCTCAGGGGAATGCTGTTCTATGTATCGCTGCGTGCCTCCTTTACTGGTAAGTAACCAGCAAATTTGACAACCTTACCTTCATATGCAAGTATTGAGCATCGTATTTCACTAATTGTACGTGCTATGGTTTTAAATGTTGGTGCAGGTGCATCTACCGTATTTCCAAGTATTACACAGAGATTCAAAGGATGGAGGAGATTGAGAAGCGGTTAAAGGACGAGTAGATTTTCTGCCAAAACAATGGAGTGACGAGACTAGATGTAGTTTAATGGAAGAGTGAATTTTTCTCTAATGATAGTTTAGTTTGTGTACCTACGACCGCTATCTTCACGTTCACGTTTTACTCTATACACTATATGAAGCGCTGTGACCTGAATATGAATGAAATATCAATGTTGAATGATTAATTATCCATCTGCTTAGCCAACGAGATGCTTTCAACAGGGTTCGTTCATCCATCAAATAAAGATCGACTTTAATTAATTAAACAGTATTGATTCTTGAAAAATAACTTCAAGAACATCAAAACAAACCTGTAAAAGAGGCCCAAAATTCTTCCGAAGACCTTAAGTAGCAGCAAAAATTGAAACAGGGAATATTGAAACGTGCATTTCTCCCAACAATAGCATTGAAAACCAAAATGGCAAGTGTAGTGACTGACGTTCAAATGGAAAGTCGAACTCCTACTATTTAACGAGTAAAATGGATGTTGATGAACAATTTAACTTCCGAGCTTCATACAAGCAAGTTCTAAACCCAACCCCAACCCCACCCCTCGCCCCCAGCAGGCACATGCAGTTGTTAAATGACGGCATCAGTAATAGGAAATGCTGTACAGGAGCTTCCGGTTATTTTGCCTCTCGAAATTAATCACTAGATCATCTATCAAGTCCTCCCAATTTTCAATACCGTCAAGCTGCATAAAGTAGGTTCATATAACAGTAATCAGTCAAATTTTCTAGGAGTTCAAATATAAAACTTGTTAAGAACAGTAGAGATGTATACCTCCTGGCACAATTGTAAAGCAAGCCGACCCCCTATAGCCGCCTCCTCATGGTTATCTTTTACTTCCAAGTTGATCACTAGAACGGGTTTAAAAAGCACATGATTCCGATTGTGGAGATCTGCAACATTTTCTTTCAATGATGACTGACTAAATTTGCAAAGATACATATCTATATAAATAGGAGCAAAATGATTTCTCTCGAGTTGCTGAACATGCCTCAATGCACTCATTTATCTGTTGCTTAAATCTGATTACGAAAATACATTCTAGAAGATTCCAACTGTTGTCCTAGAGTATTATGCATCTAACCTTGAGTTAATGAGAACACTTCTACACTGTATGGTTTCATTACAATTCTTTACAATGAAAAATACAAACCCCAATAAGAGAATTATTTCACTCAACATAAATCTTCAAGTGGTAATTAATAGATTATAGATGACAATATCACATTAATAATAAGTTCCTATAAGTGGAAGAGGATGTCAATAAACATACAAACCTTCAACGACCATATCAAAAACTTTTTCTTCAAATGTAAGTACCACATCAAAGGTACCATCAGCTGCATTCTCTTGCCAACGCTGAGGAGCGAGTTTTACTGCCACGTTTCTCTTAAGCATTGTTAGTATCCCATTTCGCCGGTATCTGAACAGTTTCAACATTTTAAGGCTCAAACACAGTCCTTTGATACACATATTCAGAGTTATACATGAACATACATCCTTGGCTTCCCTATTGTAGATATGCTAAAATGTTATACTAGAGAAGAGAACTATTTGCACTTGGTTTAACAAAGTTCTATACAGTTTCTCCCATCATCATGGACTCTATTCTTTTTCCTTTTAAGATGAACAAGACAAACGGCAATGCACTTTTGTATCCTTTATAGAGAAATTTATCCAGCGGCAACGAATAAGCATCCTAATGCTCATGTTAAAACCATTTCCACAAACTGACAAGATATTGCATTAAAACTTAAAAGAGTAACAAAACTTTGCCATTGCAGTGATTGGATATGGTTTTAGGTGTTGAAACAAAAGCCCTATATATTTAGATATCATTTTACAAAGAAATCATTGATATGCGAGAATACTTCTATGAAATAGAACAAAACTCATATCACACTTGCACTACGAATTTAAGCTCGTTCAATAAACATAGCAGTCGTTAAGTGTTTAAGAATCCTAATTTTCATTTCCTGTGAGAGCAAGATATAAATAAACTTATTCCATTAACATTACCTATTAGGATCATTGAAGGTTCCTAGTTGTTAAAGGTAATATTCCCACTTGAAAAACAATAATCAAAATATAAGGACTTCACAAGGTCCAACTTTTAAGATAAAATTCACAACTCAATAGTGTATTAGAGTCCGAAAACTCATAACGACCAATTCAATCAGTGTGAGGAAGTTTAAATGAATCATCAAACATAATTAAAAACTGATTGCTAGTACCATAGCTTCAAATCTGTACTAGTACCTATATCTTCAGCCACTTTTTCCGAAAACAATACACAGATTATTGCCTTAAAAAAGCATCAAACAAATTCATTGCATTTTAAACAACACAAGACAATACGAATAAAAATTGAAATAGTAGCAATAGATATAGCATCGAAACAGTAATTAGTAAAAAGCGGGAAGAAAAGAAATTGTTTGAGCTTACAATTCGGGGTCTTTGCGGCGGAGGTCTTCGAGCATGTGCTTGTAGGGGGTGCCAAAATCATAGACATTAGGTTCTCTGAGGGAAGGACCAGGGAGCTTAACGTGTTGCCCAGTACCGTACGATGACACGTCAAAGCCTTCTCTCTTCAATAGCGCATGGGCTTCCATGCTCCGATTCTGATTTGACGAGCACACCATCGCGTACCGAAGCTTCATGCTGCTGACAATTGATAGAAATTCAAAGATTTTTCTGGGTAAAATTAGAATAAAATTATTTCACCGATGAAGGGATTTTCAATTTGATACTCTAAGCGAACCATGAGAAAGGAACAAGGTAGAGTTAAATGTTTCATTAGGCTACTGAACTTTTATACATGTCACATTTACTCACCCACCTTTAAAACTTATCCCACTGGTCACTCAACTTTAAACCGTCCCACTCCATTGGCCACTGGATCAAAACCGTTAATAACGTTGTCCCCGTGGCTGACGGAATGGTGACGTGGCACGTTAAAATCCCCGTCACCGCCATGTGTGCAAACGGATTACTCACCGAACTTTGCTCCATT